GGGCTGAGTATTTGGGTTTAAAAATAATATCGGTACTTTAAACGTGTGCATAAAAGCTGTACGTATGAGTTTACCTCTGGTCTGCCAGTATATGCCTGTTCATAGCTTAAGAGATAACAAAAATACACGTGGTGATGCACATCTAGACCTGGCAGATTAAAATGCCCGACTTACCCAAAAATTAAAGGTACCAGAAGATTGTGTAGAGAAACCAAACATTTAGAGTTTGAACCTCTGCGATGGGAGAAACTGATTAATTTCCGGTGTTGTATGTATGTTGAACTTCTTTCGCACCGTACGTAACCAAGCGTGCTAATCGGAGGTGCGGGATCTAGGTGCTAATCTTGACCACTTGTTCCTTATAGCGATGGGTCCCTGCCCAAAGCCCTCTTTACGTTTCTTAACAGTCAATATATCGATATGTAAGTGTGCAGAACAACAATCTCGAGACTGACGGATGACAGGACCGTCGAGATGTCCAAGACTGACCACAGTCGGGAAGGAACACCCAGCCTCAGGAGTTAAATCGAGGGTCGCGACATTGCTCGGCTCACAGCCATTTCGAGTGTCGAGAAGTCCTCACACGGCCACTGGGCCCAAACACAGGGCCTCGTGAGTTAGTTTTGGCTCGGTGTGACAAAGCCACAGGCTGACATCCAGGACGTCAGTCACTGACACGTCCATTGAGCTCCGTGATACACCCAGACTAACATGGGCAGCATCTAAATGACTTTCAATTTAAATATAATTTCATTACATTTGCAAATGGTATCCAAATTATTTTAAAATCACACGAGATGTTATTATTTGGAAATGTGTATCTGTTACATTCCTCCAATAAGTTGTAATTTGAATGTAATTTTCCCAGCTCTGAGTAACCCCACTGCCTCCCAGCTACTGTAAAACTTGCAGTTTTATTCGGAAGCCACTGGAGCTGTGGACTTTTAAATCTCGATTGAAAACTAATTTCTGCAGAACTGCTTATTGTGTTTAGTTTGTTGTCCTTCCCCCGCACCTCCTATGAGCACAGTTGGCTTCGTACGGTGCTAAAGATGTTCAAAATACATGCAAGTGAAATCGCCGATTAATATGCCATCGGGCTTGCTCTCTGACCCCGCCGTGGCCCGTGTGTTTCTACGTCACCGCAGTCGATCATGTCCTACAATGGCGGCGCGGTGGTGGCCATGGCCGGCAAGGACTGCGTGGCCATCGCGTGCGACCTGCGCTTCGGCGTGCAGGCCCAGATGGTGTCGAACACCTTCGAGAAAGTGTTCCCCATGAACGAGCGCCTCTACATCGGCCTGGCTGGGCTCGCCACCGACGTGCAGACCGTGTGAGTGAACACCGCAGCGGCGCGTTAAAAACCCACACACGGAATAAAACATTAAGAATTTTTAATGTGAAGGTTTGCGTTTCGTTCTCGGAGAGAAAGTAATTCGGAGGCGAGGGAAACCACATCCAGAATCGGCACCAACAGTTCCGATATTTGGATAACAAGAAGCAGACCATTTTTCCTTCACATATCCATCTCTCTGCATAATGCAATACTTGATTCTGTTCAAGTTCTTTGAATAATAGACCTTATAGTGCCTTTAGGGTTTCAAGTGGCTCTCGGGTTTACATGAACCAGTCATACTACGACGCACCATTCTAAAATAATTGATTATAATGTATCATTTTATTTTTCTACCGTAAAAAAACTGCGCGTGCAGGTCTGAACGGTTGCGTTTCCGTGTGAACCTGTACGAGCTGCGGGAATGCCGCCCCATCAAACCCAAGACCTTCATGAGCATGGTGTCGAACCTCCTGTACGAGCGCAGGTGAGGCTGCCCGCACACGCAGATAAAGATCCCCCCTGTAGCATCAACAGACTGTTGGAGCAAGTGCTATTAGCAAACAGCGCCTATGAAGGCTGGCACAGCACACGATTGAGACGAGTGACCAGCACCACACCCGGCTGCTACCCACACACACACAGCCACACCCTCATCCAGCTTTAAGAGGAATTCACTTCTATTGGTTCGCGCACTGCGCTACAAATTTGGCGACCTGAGCTCGACTGCCTGCACGGCAAAACCATTTACGTACCATGAAGCGATATTCGTGTCGACACCGAAGGGATTGTGGGCTGTGTCGTACTCTTCCGGCCAACTTTGCAACTCCGCTGTCTGGGCCGTGCATTGTATCGGCTACTAACATCAAGGCACCCTGAGACGATGATACATCTCGTTCATGAGATTTGATGAAATCGGCCCACCGCTAATGCTGCCTCAATAAACAATTGCTGTTTGGAAACATGGATCTTAAACAACCCCGTAGACAAATAAATTAAATGATATGATACATTGCTGATGAAACAAACCTGGCGGTGGCGAGATGTTAACTACCTCGCCTGTTACACAAGAAGGTGGTGAGTTCGATCCCGACCCTGGCGCCTGTATATTGGATATTGTCTCTCCCTGTGGTGGTGGTGGTGGTGGTGTAGATTTTTCTCCGGGTCCTCCGGTTTTCTCCTCCACATTTAGAGTCAACATGCGTTCAAGAGTATTCAGTTGCTATAAATGTGCACATGATGAGCCGCTCTGTATCATTTGTGTGCAGGAAGGTTCTGAAAAAATAGCTATACAGCTCAGTGGGCCTTACCTGGTGAGGTGCTCGTGTGGTAAGAGCAATGAGGTTTGGTACACTGGCCATGTTATTTATATATTGGTGTTTCCGTGCGCTGCAGGTTCGGACCGTACTTTGTGGACCCGGTGATTGCGGGTCTCGACCCCGTCACACTGGCACCGTTCATCTGCTCGCTCGACCTTATCGGCTGCCCCATGGTGACGGAAGACTTCGTGGTGAGCGGCACGTGCTCCGAGCAGCTCTACGGCATGTGCGAGTCGCTGTGGGAGCCCAACATGGTGAGCCGCTACCCCCACCCCCCCCCACGGAAACACGAGCGCGTGCGTCATCGAACACTCGTGAAATTCTGCGTGGGGCGTTATCGAAAAACGCATGAACACCACCCATGAACACCACCCACGAACGGCGGTGAATGAACACCAGCGTTATCGTACAGGCGCATAGTCGTACATTCGCATGTACGAGCATGGAACATATGTACGGTGTAAATTACACTTGTGTTCCAAAAACACACAGCCTGTGCAAATGTCTGAAAATGCACGCACACATCAACCACATGCATCCAACGTATTCATGCATATAGCCTTAACAGACTGTCTGGACAAGTGCTGTTAGCAAGCACCTATGAAGGCTGGCACAGCACACGAGGGGGTGGGTGGCCAACACCACACCAGGTACTCATTTGAGGCCGAGTCGACATAGAGGTGCCCCAAGACTGGTTTAGATAACCGTCACTGGTGTTGGCCGTGAGCCGGAATCAAACTCTGGTGGCCGGATTTGTAGTGCAGCGTGCCAACCGCTAGACTTCCGCTCCCCATTCATGCTACAAGCACGCCCACACACCACAAACGCACTTGGACAAATGCTGTCGCCTTTGACCATGGTTTGCTGCTGCTGTCGATTGTGCTGTGACCAGGAGGCGGACGACCTGTTTGAGACGATCTCGCAGGCCATGCTCAACGCGGCCGACAGGGACGCACTCTCCGGATCTGGCATCCTCGTGCACATCATGTACGTACCGCGTGCACATGTCCATACACCCCATGTACAATGTTTCCAAATAGCAATTGTCCATTAAGGCAGCATTGGTGGGTGGGATGATTTTTATTTCACCGAATCTTATCGGCGAGGTGTGTCCTACACCGTTGCCTCAGGGTACCTTGATGTTAGTGGCCGATACGACGGACAGCCCAAGTAGCGGAGTTGCAAAGTTGGCCAGTAGAGTTCGAGAGAGGCCGTAGCGCCCCTTCTGTGTCCATGGCATTAACATTGCTTCTTGTTGCCTTGATTTGTAGTGCACCTCCGATTAGCACGATTGGCTACGTACGGTACGAAATAAGTTCTACATTACATGCTGCGTGCACATCATGTATGTACCGGGCCCGGCCAGGGGATCTACATAGCGAGGACAGGGGAGGCTGGGATTTCATCCCTTCAATCTTTACGAGTGGAGCGATAAAATCAGGTTATGTGCAGGGAAGATGGACTGTTGCTTTGCGAGAAAGAGATGGGCGGGGGCTTTGTCCTGCAGTGGACAGAACGTGGACGATACAATGACTTACAACGGATGTCATACAGGATCTTTAACGTTTCCTTTGCGGTGGTAATCGTAACTTGAAACGCCGTCTTTTTGTGTAAATCGACTCAGTTTGGCGTGGTTTTGACTGCCCCACGGCCGTGTTAAAAGTCACACGTCATGTTTTACAGAGAGAAGGACAAGGTGACGACTCGCAAGCTGAGGACTCGTCTGGACTAACTGACCAACCCCCGCCGCCGGGGTGACGGGATCTCGCCGCAGTGTCAGCGAGACTCTCAAACGGATGCGTTTCCATTTTTATTTACAAATCTGCGGCAAAAAGAAAAGACGGAGGTGTTGAATAAAGCCAATTGTGTTACAAACAGTCTACTGCTGCTGTCCCCCGCGTCTCTGTGTACAAGACATTGATTGTGGTAACTGTTCCAGAAATGTGTTTTTTTTTGAATGGCGAATGTAGCACCTCCAGTGGCTGCTGGGGTCTTATATGTTGAACTTCTTTCGCACTGTACATAGCCCACCGTGCTAATCGGAGGGGTGTGTCAATGTGTGCCAATGTGTGCATGTGGGGAGCGGTGATGTATTGGTTAGCGCGCTGTGCTACGAACCCGGTGACCCAAGTTCAATTCACGCTCATCAGCTTTGCTAATTATCTGACCCGAATGTTGGACTGCAATAGGTCTACTCGGCCTTAAATGAGTGTTGCGCTGGGGAGGTGCCGGGGAAGGACTTGCAAACCACGAATCGAAAAACATCCATTCACGTGTGCACGATTCCACCGATGTAGGAATTATTACGAATCAACATTACCATTTGCCCAAAAAGAGTAGGGACAACATTCGGATTTTTAAAACTATATTTACAACATAAAACGTATAAATACAATAAAATTGCCACTTTGGGGTGGCAGCAGATATTCAAGAAAAAAAGCGTGTGGGGGGGGGGGTTAAGTCAGTGTAACAGCAGCAAGAATACTTGATGGCATGAAAACACGAGAGAGTAGTTTACACCTTGCAGTTGTGAGATGCGCTTTGGGAGGACTGCAGAAGCGGAGCGGCAAGAGAGCCCAGGGTGAGCCCAGGGTGAGCCCAGGGTGAGCCCAGGGTGAGCCAAGGGTGAGCCCAGGGTGAGCCCAGGGTGAGCCCAGGGTGAGCCCAGGGTGAGCCAAGGGTGAGCCCAGGGTGAGCCCAGGACGCCCCGTAGTCGCTTGCGCCGGTGAGTCTCTTCACGAACAAGGGGTAAACGCAATGGCGCCGCTTGTGTTGTCAGTGCAAGTCACCAAAAACTTTCGGTAACCCACCATGGATGACCTCCAGCGGGAACGCTCGCACGACGACAACGACGACAAACCCCTTGGCAGCCTCCGGCTTGGGAGAGCCGCTCCCGCCCGGTGACTGCAGCGAGCACAAGCGTGTGCAGTATTTTAAAAAATATATATGTAACCACGAGCGGTAAACTTGCAACAAATGGCACGTATGACCACGGAATCGGGACGCCACGAACACGCCACGGGGACGCCACGAACACCACGAGGCGGCGTTGCGTTTGCGCGCGTGCGGACAAAGGTGCTCTTCCCCCCCCCCCCCCAACAACCTCGTCGACTGGTTACCGGAGTAGGCCGTGAATGATGGGCAGGGGTGTTGAGATGTATACTGGTAGGATAGCAATGTTCGATATCCGAGCTGATGAGATGCACGGGTAAGACAACCGAGAGAGTACGTTTACACGGCGCGTAGCGTTATGCGTGCTCCGATGCGTTTTCGGGTTCAACCGCGTGATGTCCGGCGCGATGTTCGGCACGATGTCCGACGTTTTCGGTCCGTTGGCTGGACGAGAAACGGAATTCGTTTCGCAAAGAAGCTCCCAGCAAGTGACGCGCAAACCGTTTGACAGCGTGCCGCACGAAACGCGGTATGACGAGCCGAAAACACCCATCGGAGAGCCATGTCGCGAAAAACCGTGGAAACGTACACAGTCGTAGAATTACCCACAACACCCACCCTGGGGGACTCTCCCAGCACCCCAGCACCCCCCCCCCCCCCCCCCCCGAGTGCTTGATAGGCACTCATTCTACTGCAGCCACAGGAGGCTTTGAGCCATCCCCTTGTCCCAAATCAAACCACCAGGTGTCCTCGCAGAGACGCGGGACAGATTGAGAAATGCATGCAATAATAATCGTCTAATCACGGGGTATCGCCCCGCTCACCGGGGCTTGCTTTTTGAAAAGCAACGCTGTGAAATGTCGAGGTCATGTCGGTGCCCAAGCGGTAAACCGAGATCGTTAATTCCTAAGCATTGCGGTTCCACCATCTCTTTAAGCAGCACCAAGGTGTTGCTATTCTTTATATTTAAAAGCACTTTTTGGGGATCGGTGACGCTGGTCAGCGGCGTAGCTGGCAAATGTGCAGGCGGTGCAATTGCACCAGGGCCCAGAAGAAGAGGGGGGGGGAGGCCTCACTTAATCCCTGGTACCAGGGCCCATGTCAAGCCACCGACGGTTGTTATCACGATACCCGCAGGTTTATCCAAATCCCCCCACTCGTCAGGACTTCTATGTCTCAACATTCTCCCACAAGCATCATCACCAGAGGCAGACCACAAGCCTCTTCTCCCCCCCCCCCCACCCCGCTGGGGGCTATTGGCACTCTGCAACGCCGACGCTCCGGTGCTCACTCCAGGATGCTGTCCATGAAGTCCAGGAAGCGCTTCGAGTACTGCTCCGGGTTGACGGTGGAGACGGCTCCGGCCTGCACACACGCACACAGGGCACAGCGGGCACAGCGGGCACGGCTCACGAAACGGCCACCGCGGTTTGGCCTTCGCAGACCGCTGGAGCGAGTTCTGTTGGCGAGCGCCGATAAAGGCTGGAGCGGCACAAGGATGTGGCTGGCGGTGTGGCCAAAAGCCTTGCACCAGACCGCCTTCGTCTCCCCAAGTGTTCCCCTGCTTACACGCTGCACTCGGCAACAAGACGTGATATCGTCACTGGTCACTGTGGTGGTGTGCACGGCCAGGAATGAATACAGTGCGCGCAAACACATCCGCACATACGTGTAAAAATTCGCAGTCGCACAAATAAACGAGACATGAAAGATCCCCCTTTATAGCTTTAGGAGACTGTTGGGGCGAGTGCTGTTAGTGAACACCTATGAAGGTCGGCACGGCACACGAGGGGGTGAGTGGCCAACACCACGCCCGGCCACCTTTGTCTCCCTAGTGGCGATGTTTACACACTGCCCCAGCCATTCATTTGAGGCTCAGTCGACCTAGAGGATTCCCAGGATCGGTTCAGATAATCACCGATTGTTGGCCGTGAGCGGAAATTGAGCTCGGGTCGCCGGATTCGTCGCACAGTGCGCTTAGCGCAACACTACCGCTCCAAAGACAAAGATCCGCCGTGATATCCTTTACAGGCCGTTGGGGCAAGCGCTGTTCGTGAGCACCTACGAGGACTGGCACGGCACACGAGGGGGTGGTGGGTGGCCAACACCGTGCCCAGCCACCTTTGTCTCCCCAGTGGCGGTTTACCCACTGCCCCAGGTACTCATTTGAGGCCGAGTCGACCGAGGGGAATCCCAGGACCAGTTGAGATAATCGTCACCGGTGTTGTTGGTGGTCGTCAGAATCGAACTGGGGTCGCCGGGTTCGTCGCGCAGGCAAAGGTGGCCAGCTCTCGGCCTCACCCTGTTCTTGACGGTCTTGGCTGCGTGCGCCGCCTTCCTCTTGGCATCGTAGTGGGTGAGGATGTCGATGATGCCCATGTAGTAGACTTCCTTGCGGCCGGCACCTGTGAGCGAGAGACCGGCTTTAGGCACCGGCTGTGATCGGGAACCGAACCCGGGTCGCCAGGGGTTCGTAGCGCAGCGTGGCGCTAACTGCTACGCCACCACGCACGCGCGCACACAAAACAAAGATCCCCCGTGTAGCCTTAACAGACTGTAGGGGCAAGTGCTGTTCGCGAGCACCTATGAAGGCTGGAACGGCAGACGGTGATGTGGGTGGCCAGCACCACGCCCGACCGCCTTTGTCTCCCTAGTGGCAATGTTTATACATTGCACCAGGTACTCATTTGAGGCTGAGTCGACCTAGGGGAGGCCCGGGACCGGTTCAGATAATCGTCACCGGTGTTGGCCGTGAGCGGGAATCGAACCCGGGTCCGCCAGGTTCATAGCGCAGCGTAGCGCTAACCGCTACACTACCGCTCCCCACACACACACACACCTACACACACACACAGTGACACACACGCAGACGGCCGTACTCTCGTGTGCGACGATGGCGTAGATCCTGGCAGTGCCCGAGGGAGCGGCGCCGCCGGCCGCGGCGCCGGAAGAGCCGGCGACGGCGCCCCCCCCGCCGCCCTCCGGCGAGGCGGCCCCCCCCGCTCCCCCGCGTGCCGCGGTGCCATTGGCGGCGTCCACGCTGCCGCGGCCGACCCTGCTCCCCTTGCGCCAACCGCGGCGCCGCCGCTCCTCCTCCTCCTGCTCCGCCTCCGCCTCCTTGGTCTCCTCCTCCTCCTCGTCGTCCTCGTAGTCGTCGTCCGCCTCGTCGTCCTCCTCGTCCTGGTCGCCCGCCTCCACGTCGTAGATGCCCACCAGGAGGCTGTAGCCCATCATCTTGAGCTGCACCAGAAACTGAGCGCACGCGACGGACGGGCGTCGAGGCGCAGCCCCTGCAAGCGCCCGCTCACTCCTGCCGCCTGCGGGGGGTGGGGCCGCTGTGGCTTGGCCTGCTCTTCCACGTTGCATGGAAGAGGTGGAGGAGTGCCCACGGTTGACCTCGCCACCAGAGACCCACTGATCGGCTACGGTGCACCAATTTACACTGCTGAGTGGATACCGGTGGTGGTGGGGGGGGGAGGGGTAGGGGAGACGTATAAAACCGGCCTAATTTTCTCAATTGCCACGCCGGGAGGGGTCAAGCCAGCCACCCCCCCAGGTGCATGCCCAGTGTGCAAGCCCTAACACCGCGGCCGGGGCAGCAGTAGCAGTGCAGCAGCAGTGGTTGAGATTTCACTCGCCACTAACATTTAACCACGGCCGGCAATCCAACTCAGGTAGCCGGCTCACAGTGCAGCGTGTGCCAACCACTGCGCCACCGCTCGATCTCCACCACCGCCCCCCCCCCTCTCTCCCCCACGTGCGCTCAAGAGCGACGATTTGCGAGGAGCAGGAGGAGGCTCCGGCAGGTGGCACAGCTGCACCACTCCAGCCAGTAGCGTAACACGAACCAGCATGACGTGACAGCTGCCGCCACCACGTGTTTTCAGGCCAGCCTCGGGGTCGACACCTGCCCGAGTTTGACCCGGAACAAGTCCGGGAGTTGACATTGGCTGTGTTCGTGCGGCAGGAATCGAACCGAGTTCCGGTACCGGTATTGTGCGGAAGTTTATTACGGGCTACCGCACCGTTTTTCATATTGAACCCAGGGATGACCGGGAATATCTCAGCCACTAGAGGCTGCTACGTTCATAACCACGTTAAGAACGGTTGCCTATTGAATTTCCAGATCGGGCAATCGGTGCTTGGTCGAAATCTCTCGCCGAACAGTGCAACCCTCCGTGTTCGGACGACGACGGCCCACGGAAGCAGATATCACGGAGCTACCTCTGAGGTCCCTTCAAGTGACCACTTATCCACAGTAGGGGGCCGGCAGGGGGTGCGGGGTGCGGGGGGGGGCAGCACTTTCCCACCTGCTCTGCGTACGAGAGAGTCAATGGCCGTTGCACACGCGATTAGCGCGCATGGGGCTGTTGGAGGGCACGCCTAACACACAGGCACGCACGCACCCACGCACCCGTCAGCGCACGCATCTGGGTGCGGAGTCAGGCGGTTCGCACGGCGGCTAAATCACCGCGCGGCTCTCGGCCCGCGCTAAGAAGGCGCGGGCGCCAGACGGATAAAAATACCCCTCCCCCCCCCCCCCAAAAAAAAGTGTCCCCCGCCACCGCCGGCATCTTGGAGCTCACCCCAAGCCAACGGTGCTGGCGCGTGCCGGCCACCCAGCTAAGCAAGCACAGGCTTAGCGTCCCCAAGCAGCTCGAAGGCCCTCCCCCCTCCACCCCCGACCGCCCCTCTCGGATTCGTGGTAAATATAGGCGTCCAACTCAGATACCTCTGTATATAACAAAAGCAGAAAGCTCGTCGTTTAAATAAGGAGATTAAACTGGTTGCAATTGTGATTAGTCTGTTAACTTCATTATCTCACACAACCATGATAGAGTTAAGGGGCGCAGCTTGTCCACTGCATAATGAGCGTCATAGTCGTCAATCATAATCATCCAGATTTTTTTTCAGCGTAGTTTATGCAAGCTGGGTGGGTAGGTGAGTGATTGAGTGGGTGGGTGATTGAGTGGGTGGGTGAGTGATTGAGTGGGTAGGTGAGTGATTGAGTGGGTGGGTGAGTGATTGAGTGGGTGGGTGAGTGGGTGGATGGATGAGTGGCACCATCACCTCCACATCCCTCCTGAGCTTCTCCAGGAAGGCCTTCTTGTCCTCCTCACCGATGACAATCTTCTGCTTCTCGTTGATGAAGTCGTTGTCCTTGAATGTTGGAAGGTCCTTGGCCTGTGTGGCCACGGGCAAGAGAGACACACAGAGAGACAGAGGAGACATGGAGAGAGAGAGAGACACAAATAGAGAGAAGGTGTGAAAAGCAAGAAATCCTGCCATGTAAATACTCCACCTGGCACCCGCTGCACCTCAACTGATTTAATCGCTCCATCTCCTCGGAGGACGTAAGTCTCGGATGCGATTGTGTTGATTGGATACGAAAGACATCCGTTATGTAACATTTTTGTTTTTAGTTTCGTAATGCAAGGCTGGCTTATGGGGGGTGGCAGGGGCGAGGGGGCTACGGCGTGTAATACAAAAGGTATATATTGAACTACGTGTACAACGAACGTGATGTTGAATCAAGTTTGCACACAATTCAGCCAAGACCGGCGTACAAAAATTCTTTTTTTTTTAACAAACACGATCCACCATCACTCCCTCACCCACTCACCCGCCAACTCACACAACCGCTCGCTAACACCTTCACTGTACGTATGTTGATCTTCCGCACCGTACGTAACCAACCGTGCTCATCGGAGGTCTCGGTGAAGGACAGCAAACTAAACACAAAAAGCAGTTCTAAAGAAATACGTTTTCAATCTAAATTATTTAAAAGGGCATAGCTCCCAGTGGCTTCTGAATATCGGATGAAAGAACGCTCCAGACGGCCACAGAAGCGCATCTGACAGCGCGCGATGCGGTGACCACCGTCTTTGTTCGACCACCCACCGACTCGCTCGCCCCGTCACTCCCTCGCTCACCGACTCGCTCGCCCCGTCACTCCCTCGCTCACCGACTCGCTCGCCCCTTCACTCCCTCGCTCACCGACTCGCTCACCCCTTCACTCCCTCGCTCACTGACTCGCTCGCCCCTTCACTCCCTCGCTCACTGACTCGCTCACCCTTCACTCCCTCGCCCACCGACTCGCTCGCCCCGTCACTCCCTCGCTCACCGACTCGCTCGCCCCGTCACTCCCTCGCTCACCGACTCGCTCACCCTTCACTCCCTCGCTCACCGACTCGCTCGCCCCTTCACTCCCTCGCTCACCGACTCGCTCGCCCCTTCACTCCCTCGCCCACCGACTCGCTCGCCCCTTCACTCCCTCGCCCACCGACTCGCTCACCCCGTCACTCCCTCGCCCACCGACTCGCTCGCCCCTTCACTCCCTCGCTCACCGACTCGCTCGCCCCTTCACTCCCTCGCCCACCGACTCGCTCACCCTTCACTCCCTCGCTCACCGACTCGCTCGCCCCTTCACTCCCTCGCTCACTGACTCGCTCGCCCCTTCACTCCCTCGGCCACCGACTCGCTCGCCCCTTCACTCCCTCGCTCACTGACTCGCTCGCCCCGTCACTCCCTCGCTCACCGACTCGCTCGCCCCTTCACTCCCTCGCCCACCGACTCGCTCGCCCCTTCACTCCCTCGCTCACTGACTCGCTCGCCCCATCACTCCCTCGGCCACCGACTCGCTGGCAAAACACTCACCTTCTCCTTCTCGCTGGCTTCTCGAGACACCGTGCAGCCCTACAGGAGACAGACGGAGCCACGCGGAGACACACGGAGACACACGGAGACAGACAGAGACAGACGGAGCCACACGGAGACACACGGAGACACACGGAGACACAGACAAGAGAGGCACATGGAAGAGAGTTATCGACGAGCGCCTATTAAGGTCACAAGTGGGCGGTGTGGTCGGCAACACTCCTGGCCACCTTTGTCTCCCCAGTGCTGATGTTCACACGCCGCACCAGCTCCTCATTGAAAGCCGACTCGACCTCAGGGAGGCCCAATACCGGTCCAGATATCGCTCGTCATGGGTCTTTCTAGCCCTGGCTGGGAATCCAACTCAGGTGGCCGGGTTCGTAGCGCAGTGCGCTTACACCACTAGGCCACTGTTTCCCAGCCATACAATACGTGCACACGCACACACACGCAAAATCACAGGGCTGGCTTTCACCACTAAGATAATATCAACCATCGCAGATCAACGAAATGCAAACAGCGCGTCGTTTGCAGTGTAATCTAATCACAACGCTGCCAGCCCCACTCATTGGTAGACAGCAGCAGCTGCAGCAGCAGCAACAGCGACGAGAGCCGCAGATGCGATTAGTGATCACAGAGGCATCGGCCACTGTTCGGCACATTTACAAACAGTCCTCCCCTTTTGCTACGAGCCTTTCGGATCAGAATCATTACTTGGACCGGACGAGTTCGACGAGCTCTGAAGCTCTCTTTCGCAGAAGTCCAGTCGGGGGTGGGTCAGCAAGTTATAACGACGAATAATACAATGAATATTTATCTTTTTTAAGAGCCAATGCTGAGCCGCTCACTCACGCATGCGGAGGGGGGTGGTGGAGACCTTGGGGAGTGACCGAGAGGTTTGAGCGTGACCCGAGAAGCCGCGTTGGGGGCCAAGCAGCGAATACTGCGCTAGACGTGTCTGGGGCCCTACGTTGGCCAGGAGATGTTAACTACCTCGCCTAGTATACAGGAGGTCGTGGGTTCAATCCCGACCCTGATGACGCCTGCTGCTGTATATATGCAGTTTGCGTGTCTCTCTCTCATCACCATCACGGTGGCTAGGAGATGTTAACTACCTCGCCTGGTATACAGGAAGTCGTGGGTTCGATCCCGACCCTGATGACGCCTGCTGCTGTATATTTGGAGTTTGAATGTTCTCCCCGTGGTCGTGTGGATTTTTCTCCAGGTCCTCCAGGTTTTCCCTCCGCATTGAGAATCAACATAACGCGTTTAGAGTATTTGGCTGCTACACATTTCCACGTGATGAGCCACTTTGTTGGGCTATCATTTGCAGCCAGGCCACTTCTGTAAAAGAGCTACGTAGCTCAGTGGGCCTTACCTGGTCAACATTATTTATAGTTTAGTTTAGACCCCACAGCCACCTGGTCACCTCACGCAACACGGCAGTAACCTCACGATCTTTCCGACTTGCAAGGCACACGCTCACGTCACCGCCCGCCTGGTTCATGTTTGGTATTATCCGGTTGCATTTGTCTGGTAAACAAAGCAAGCTGGGACCGGTTTCTACTTCGGTGAGGCTCATCGGCAAGGCACGGGGCCCCCGTTACGGGCAGCAGCACCAATCGGTAACGAGGAGTTTAAGTTGATTTTGTTCAGCCAGGTGAGAACTCATAAATAAGTCTCATTTGCAAGAGCGACCCTGGGTCACCAAAAACAATTATGCGGGTTGCAACCCGTCCTGGTTTTACCCAGGATTGTCCTCTTGTTGAGCGGGCAGCTGCTGTCCCCCGTGCAATGTGCGAGTCTTCCCGGCACAGTAGAAGTCCCGGCTTTTGTCAGCCGTGTAATGACGATGATGACAACAACGATGCTCATGCACCGATCAAGGCAGTGCACTGGAAGACGACAGCTCTCTTTCGCCGTCTTCTAACATCGTCAGATTTTCATCCTCTTTCCCGCTCCCCCCCCCCCCCCCCCCACGGTGCCCCCGGAACGTTTTGTACCGCAGAAGTTGGCGCCACCCCGCCTCGGCCGACAGCGATGGATTACCGGGGACTCGCGCTTCATTTCGGAGATTTGGGGCAAATCGTCTCGGACGCTAGATTTATGTTGATGCGTCGTGTGGGACCATCTGTGCCCCATTTAACAAACAAACATGCTATGAATACCCCATCTCTCTCTTTCAGCAGAGAGGTTTAGTAAAACAATTTGTTTTATTATCACCGTCTGCGTGATCACTGCAGCCCACTAGATTGGATAAAAAAAAGAACATTGTTGTACTGTACATCTCCGCTCCCACGTGCATCCTCCAGAGTGGCGAGGTATGGTCAAACAATCCCCCCTCAACCCGCGTGGAACACGAAGGCCATCGTCCAGCAGTGGACAGACAGACAGACTGTGTCTATCCACCTACCTGTCTAACCACCCGTGTATCCACCTCTATGTATGTCTAACTTCTTTCGCACCGTACGTAGCCAACCGTGCGAATCGGAGGTACGGGGGTGGGGGGTTTGTTCTCGAGACGTTGCCACACACGCGGACACACGCACGGAGCATGCAGCAGCAGCAGCAGCAGCAGGACGAGTCTTCCCCGTCGTGACGTCAGAGCCACGGGCAGCGCTGCGGGCACCGCGGTGGGGGTGGTGGTCGTGAGGCAGGGCGGGGGGGGGGGGCACAGGAATGCGGCGAGGACGCCGCTGACGCCGCGCCGACGGCACTCCTCCGCGTGGCGGCCGCCGCTCGCGGTGGCGCAGCACGATGGGGGCCCAGCGCCGGCGCGGTTAGCCGCCTGCTGTTGTTGCCGAGGTTCCCGGTTCGAATCCGGCGCGGCCGCCCAGGTTAACACTGCGAGCGTGCTAACGATGGAAATGAATAAAAGTAATTTATATCGCGGGCGTCGTCCGCTTGCTTTTAGCGGTGGGCGTCGCGAGAGCCTCGGCGCCTTCGCGTGTGCCGGCGCCAAAGCTCGAAAATTTGCCGCGCTTGAAAAGCTACGCCGCAAGTTACTCGACTGGGTTCATACGCGGCACGTCCCTGCTACTCCGAGAGCACCAGAGCTTGGGCAACTGTTGGTGGCCGCCGGTTTTCTGGCTGCCTTCCGGCTCGTTGGCGAACGGTCCCCCCCTTCCCCATCGTGACCTCTCTGAATGTTCTGAGATCGGGGCACCTGTAGAATAATTTACCCTGTGGCACATAGCAGGGGCGTCTTATATGACTGGGATCTGTGCCCCTAACAATTTGCTGGTGTTGCAGTGGTGGTGGGTTAAACGTCAGCGTTGGGGAGTGTGTGTGCGCGTGGGTGTGTGCACGCACGGCTGTCTGCAAGGATACGTAATTACGCGTTCTATGTCTTTGTCTCTGTGTATGTGTGAATGTATGCGATCATGTTTATGTGCGGTTACGAATGTGTACACTGGACAATGTATACATATACACACACACACACGACCATACATAAGCACACAAGACACGTAAATATACGCACACAGACATATCATGCAAACAGTGTCGAGTGTACACACACAAACACGCCCCGTGGTATTTAAAGGTTTCCCGATGACATTTGCTTCCTATTTGGAGCTCACGTCCCAGACCGGTCCTACGGGTCCTCCTGGGCGCCACGAGGAGGCGCGGCCGCCGCTCTGCGAGAGGGCCGCCCGGAGCCTCTCCACACCGGCCGGGAGGGCAGCCACGCGGTGGGGACCACCGGCGTCAGGGACGGACGCTGGCCGGGCTGTTTCCAGCATTGTCCCCTTGCGCCGTCCGAGACCGGCACTCCGATTTGCGTGGGAGAGCTCGCGGGACACTTTAAACTATTTACTAAAATTAAACTATATATGTAACTGGTTAAGGCCCACTGAGCTGCGAAATAGCTCTTTTTCAGAAGCGACCTGGCTATCACAAGCGATAGCTCAACGAAGTGGCTCATCAAGTTGAAATGTATTGCAGCCAAACACTCTAAACGCACTTCGATTCCAATTGTGGAGGGAAAAACCGGGAAGACCCGGAGAAAAATCCACGAGGCCACGGGGAGACACGAAAACTCAAAAATACACAACAGGCGTCAGGCTCGGGATTCGAACCCACGACCTCCCGCATACCGGGCGAGGTAGTTAACATCTCGCCACCACGGCGCCCTCTGTTAAGGCTAAACGGTGTTGGGGGCGGGGGGGGGGGCGTCTCACCTTGAGGTCGTACTTGCAGTGCACGCTCAGGTGGGGGCTGAACACGTTGCGCGTCACCACCAGGTAGGTGTCGGCGCCGTCCACGCCCAGCCGGTACATCCCCAGAAACTGCGGCAGCAGCGTGTTCCCGTGGCACTCCACCACGTACTGTGGGCAGAGTCGCCACGCGCAGCGCTCGTCAGCACTGCGAGAGCCACGCGGGCTCACGCACGCGCACACACACACACACAGTGCTGCTATACTTCGGCGGTATCCACGGTAAAGTGCTGTCCGCTTCACAGCGGTCATTATAAGAGCCCCTGACATCATTGGCAAGAGTAGGCCATTGTCTCCAAATGTGCTAAAATTCGAACAAAAATTACCCGCTGATAATTACTCAATATGGATTAAACACAGCAATCATCGCCACCCCTACTGCCAAAATATTGCTCGTTTGCAGGCCAGGAGTTGAGTCGCCTGTGTGCCCGCAGGAACAGCTGCCACTGGGGGTGCCCTTTCAAATGTGTTGATGCGATGCAAAGTAGCCCGAGACGCCCCGGCGTGGCGGGAGGGAGCTCAATCTCTACGTGTCAACCGACTCAAGCCTCCCGTGAACCACGTGGGGCTTGTGTGTGGCCACCCCCCACTGCGAACCCCCTCTCCCAGTCGCCGCCCACTGTGAAAAAAGACATCGCTCCTACGTGCAGTAGCAGCAGCAGCGTAGAGGCCCTGATGCAGCCTCATCATCCCCATCCTCACCTCTCCAGATTCCCTTTTGCTCCCGTTTTTCCTTCCCATTCCCGTTCTTTTCCCATTATTTATCTTCTCCCTTCATCCGATGATGATCATGATGATGATGATAACAAGTGCCAATAAGATATTGGCACTCGAAATGTACTGCTGCAGAAGGATGCTGCATCTGGGCCCGCAGAGTGACCAAGGTAAAAGTAATAAAAAGATTGCACAGAGAAGAAGACGACGACCTGATGCTCCAGGCAGCGACGAGAAGGAAACTTGCAACGATTTGGACACGTACGTACGATGGACAAGAGGAAAATTAAAAGTGCGTTGTTTGGATAAATGGAAGGAGCTTGAAAGAGAGGAAGACCTAACGGCGAATGGCTTGACGACGACGACGACGACGACAGAGATCGGTGCCGGAAAGATGTGGCCAAGACGTTGAGCACGAGACAGAGACAGGAAAGTGTAAACAAATCACAAGGTGTGCAGTGGACACCTCCTCCGGGGCTATCCGCCCCATGGATCGTGACGATGACGACGATCGTCATGATCGCCGTCGCGGTTACCGTGGTGCGCGCGCAAGCGCAAACCCCCTCTCCGCGCGCACCTGGTGGTATTTCATGAGGATCGTGTGCATGTCGGCCACGTCTTCCCCCACGATGGTCTTCACCACGAACCGGCGGTCGTACGTAGTGAAGACGCGCGCGCCGCTGCGGCCTCGCGCGTCGCTGTTCACCGGGGCGCGGCTCGTCAGCGAGACCTGCGCCGGCGCAGACGGGGCGACACGTCACGGGCCGGCAGCGGCGTCGGTATCGTCGTCGTTGGCGTCGTCGTGAGAAGCGGCGGCATCGTCGTTAATCGTAGCGGCAGGGGCACAGCGATCAGCAGCGGCGGCATTGCCATCATCAGCGGCACCACGATTACCGTCCTTTCTTATCATCGGCATTCGTGTGGCAGCGATGGCATCGGCATCATCAGCAGCAGCGTCGGTAACAGGGAGCAGCTTCGCTGCGATCGCCATCGCCGCCATCGTCGTGACGATCATCATCAGCAGCATCATCATAAGTAGCAGCAGCAGCAGCATCATGATCATAAACTAAAACTATTTTTTTAGTTTAGCAGGTAACGCCCACTGAGCTGTATAGCTCGTTCTCAGAAGCGACCTAGCGACAAATGGTCGCTCATTTGGAAGTTTATAGCAACCAAATATTCTAAACGCATGTTTCGAAATGTCGAGGGAAAACCCGGAGGATCCGGAGAAAAATCCACACGTCCACGGGGAAAGAGAACATGCAAACTCCTGCAGGAGTTAACGTCTCGCCACCGTGGCGCCCTACCACCATCATCATCATCATCCACATTAATACAACAACACAGATAATACATCTCCTTCATATATCCGTCCGTCCACGTAAAAAAGATAAAAGTACTTTTAACACTTCCCATCAACCACACGCGGCCTGGGAGCTAATTACTAATTATCACTTCCCATCAACCACACGGCCTGGGAGCTAATTACTAATTATCCACAGCAACGCCAATGCTCAGTTTGCGTTACACATTTGGGCAGCACTCTTTCCAGACGACTCACGAAGAGTGCACACGTACAGTGAGGGACAAAAAGTACAGTGAGGGACAAAAAGTATTTGATCCCCTGTTGATTTTGTACGTTTGCCCACTGACAAAGAAATGATCAGTCTATAATTTTAATGGTAGGTTTATTTGAACAGTGAGAGACAGAATAACAACAAATAAAATCCAGAAAAACGCATGTCAAAAATGTTATAAATTGATTGGCATTTTAATGAGGGAAATAAGTATTTGACCCCTCTGAAAAACATGACTTAGTACTTGGTGGCAAAACCCTTGTTGGCAATCACAGAGGTCAGACGTTTCTTGTAGTTGGCCACCAGGTTTGCACACATCTCAGGAGGGATTTTGTCCCACTCCTCTTTGCAGATCTTCTCCAAGTCATTACGGTTTCGAGGCTGACGTTTGGCAACTCGAACCTTCAGCTCCCTCCACAGATTTTTTATGGGATTAAGGTCTGGAGACTGGCTAGGCCACTCCAGGACCTTAATGTGCTTCTTCTTGAGCTACTTCTTTGTTGCCTTGCCGTGTGTTTTGGGTTATTGTCATGCTGTAATACCCATCAACGACCCATTTTCAATGCCCTCGCTGAGGGAAGGAGGTTCTCACCCAAGATTTGACGGTACATGGCCCCGTCCATCGTCCCTTTGATGCGGTGAAGTTGTCCTGTCCCCTTAGCAGAAAAACACCCCCAAAGCATGTTTCCACCTCCATGTTTGACGGTGGGGATGGTGTTCTTGGGGTCATAGGCAGCATTCCTCCTCCTCCAAACACGGCGAGTTGAGTTGATGCCAAAGAGCTCCATTTTGGTCTGATCTGACCACAACACTTTCACCCAGTTGTCCTCTGAATCATTTAGATGTTCATTGGCAAACTTCAGACGGGCATGTATATGTGCTTTCTTGAGCAGGGGGACCTTGCAGGCGCTGCAGGATTTCAGTCCTTCACGGCGTAGTGTGTTACCAATTGTTTTCTTGGTGAATATGGTCCCAGCTGCCTTGAGATCATTGACAAGATCCTCCCGTGTAGTTCTGGGCTGATTCCTCACCGTTCTCATGATCATTGCAACTCCACGAAGTGAGATCTTCCATGGAGCCCCAGGCCGAGGGAGATTGACAGTTCTTTTGTGTTTCTTCCATTTGCAAATAATCGCACCAACTGTTGTCACCTTCTCACCAAGCTGCTTGGCAATGGTCTTGTAGCCCATTCCAACCTTGTGTAGGTCTACAATCTTGTCCCTGACATCCTTGGAGAGCTCTTTGGTCTTGGCAATGGTGGAGAGTTTGGAATCTGATTGTTTGATTGCTTCTGTGGACAGGTGTCTTTTATACATGTAACAAGCTGAGATTAGGAGCACTCCCTTTAAGAGTGTGTTCCTAATCTCAGCTCGTTACCTGTATAAAAGACACCTGGGAGCCAGAAATCTTTCTGATTGAGAGGGGGTTAAATACTTATTTCCCTCATTAAAATGCAAATCAATTTATAACATTTTTGACATGCGTTTTTCTGGATTTTTTTGTTGTTATTCTGTCTCACTGTTCAAATATACCTACCATTAAAATTATAGACTGATAATTTCTTTGTCAGTGGGCAAACGTACAAAAATCAGCAGGTGATCAAATACTTTTTTTCCCTCACTGTAGGCCGTTCGCGAGCGCCTATCAAAAAGCCTGACGTGTTGCCCATGCGGGGTGGGCAATTGCGTTCGTGCCACACGACCCTGACCACCACCTTTGCCTCTCTCCGCCTGGCAACAGACACGAGGGTTTTCAAGCGGCAGAGGAGTTTGTTTTTCTTCTACTCCGTTCCGTTAGACGCGACGCTCGGGTTTTTTTTTGTTGTTTGCGATTTGTAACGCCGCCCTCGGAAGCGCATTTGGCACCACGTGGCGATTTACTAAAACAAGCACGGATTTTGCCAGGTCAGCAGCACGGGGAAGTGTGCAGACGGCACACGCACAAGGACAGACTCACAGACACGCACGCACAGACTCGCGTACACACGCACGCACGCACAGAATCATGGACACAAAACAACAGCCACAACCGCCGTTCCCCACTAAGTGGCATGTGACGTCACCACGGCTCCTGTGCCAGGCCAGGTGCACTTCGAGGCCACGTCAAGTGTCGAAGGCTGATAGGTCACGGAACAGAGCCAGCAGGTGCCATGGGTTGGCCACCTGGCGCTACGCTCGTTGTTGTGAGCATCGCTCCATTGCCCTGTTGGAGGGCAACTGGCTCCAATCAGCTCCACATCCTTCTGTACCACATCAGCCCATCTCTTTTCTAGCTCGTGCCATGTCCGTTTAGCCCACCCTATCCAGCCAAACAGAAGCTACTTTGGAATGTGGTGACTGGGAATCCGTGCTACGTAACCCAGCCAACACAGCCTCGTCTGCCGAAAGAGCTCACGGATGGCACTGTGTCCAAGTCTTTCAAGGATGTGCAAGTTCCTCACACAATCCAGTCTGGTTGAAGCCAAGATGGATTGTAGGCAGGCCAGCCTGAATGTTTCAAACCGGCGCAGATATTCCTTTAAGAGGGCTCCACGTTTTGTAAGCATATCATGCGTGCACACACACAAAAGACAAAGACAAAGATCCCCCATATAGCCTTAACAGACTGTAGGGGCAAGTGCTGTTAGCGAGCACCTATGAAGGCCGGAACGGTACACGAGGGGGTGGGTGGCCAGCACCACGCCCGACCGCCTTTGTCTCCCTCATGGCAATGTTTACACACCGCACCAGGTACTCATTTGAGGCTGAGTCGACCTAGGAGAGGCCCGGGACCGGTTCAGATAATCGTCACTGGTGTTGGCCGTGAGCGGGAATCGAACCCGGGTCGCCAGGTTCATAGCGCAGCGCGCTAACCGCTACACTATCGCTCCCTAGCACACACACTCGCACACACGTGCACGTGTATGTGTTAGAGGGTGCACGCATGTGTATGTGTGTGTGCTAGAGGGTGCACGCATGTGCATGTGTGTGCTAGAGTGCGCGTGTGTGTGTGTGTGCTAGAGGGTGCGCACGTGTGTGTGTGTGTATGCTAGAGGGTGCGCACGTGTGTGTGTGCTAGAGTGCGCGCGCGTGTGTGTGCTAGAGGGTGCCCACGCGTGTGTGTATGTGTGCGTGCTAGAGGGTGCGCACGCGCGTGTGAAGGTTATTTTGGGCGCGTGTATTTATGTGGCGTGAAGGTTACCGAGGGTCGGTGCTAAGAGCTCGGAGCTGCGGCCTCCTCAACATGCAGGGGGGTAATCCGGGTGTCACGGTGCAGGGGGATCAGGTACACGCACAACCAGCTATGGCTCCTGGCACAGTTGTATGTGTCACACACACGTTACTAGTTATGCTTGCCTAACGTGTGTGTGTGCATGCACGCGTGAGTGTGTTCGTGGGAGTGCAGTGGTGCTTGCTAACAGCACTTGTCCCAACATTCTTCCAGCGCTATACGGGGGGACCTTTGTCTTTGTAGCGGTCAGCGCGCTGAGCGATGAACCAGGCAGACCCAAGTTCGATTCCCGCTCACGGTCACCAACACCGGTGACGATAATCTGAACAGGTCCCGGGCCTCCCCCTAGGTGGACTCAACCTGAAATGAGTACCTGCTGCGCTGTGTAAACATCGCCACTGGTGAGTCCAAGGAGGCCGTGCCTGGTGCTGGCCACCAAACCTCCTCGTGCCCCGTGCCGGCCGTCATAAGTGCTCGCTAACAGCACTTGCCACAACAGTCTGTTAAGACTATACGGGGGATCTTTGTCTTCATGTAGCCATATCTGTTTGTGTGTACCTATGTATGTGTGCATGTAGTTGTGTGTGTGTGTGCATAGCTGTGTAAGCGTGCGTGTTCACGTACCTAGCTGTGTGTGTGTGAACAGGGGTTGCCCCAAAGGTCAATACACCCTATGTGAAATCACCTACTATAATCACCCAGAAATCTGTCCGTCCCGCCCGTGACGTCACTCAACATGAGGCCCACCCCCAATGACGTCACTCCACACGAGCCCCCCCTCATTAATATTCATGAGTGGGTGGATTTTTACAGGAGCGCAAAGATGAATTAAATAATTTATTATGCAAAATCGCTTCAAAAAATAAATTGACGCAGCATAGTGCTTCATCCGTGCGTGACGTCACTGCAAAAGAGGCCCCCCCCCCCCTTCATTAATATTCAATTAATAATCATGAGATGAACAATTTTTCTATTGAATATTTCAGATTTACTGCAATATTCACCCGTCCATGGACGGGCAAAAAAGCTCGTAACCCCTATGTGTGTCCTGACTTGTGGGCCACCCTGTATGGCTGTGTCTGCACCTCGTGCAGAAACCACAACCCACCGCTAGCCCCCCCTCCACCTTCCCTCTGGCAGGAAGCTTCGTCCGGAATCAATCTTTCGTCGACAAAACCGTTTCTGTTTTACTGCGAGCATTCATATTTCATGCGGTGTGCATTTACAAATATCTCTCCCCGTATGGCCTTCAGCTGCAGACTGTCGGCGCAAGCGCTGCTAGCGAGCAGGACCTACGAAGGCCAGGAATGGCACACGAGGAGGGCTGGTGTGCCCACGACCACGCCCGGCCGCCTTTGTCTCCCCAGTGCTGATGTTTACACACCGCACCAGGTACTCGCTTTCGGCCGAGTCGACCTAGGGGAGACCGAGGACCGGTGGGAATGTTTTCCACTGCTATGAGACCGTGAGCGGGAATCGAGATTCGGTGGCCGGGTTCGTAATGCAGTTGCGCTAACCACAGAGTCACCGCTCCCCCCCCACACACACACACACACCCCCTACACATACAATATACAGTACAGTATATACAGCGTATGGAGCAGCCCCCCAATAACACAACTGAGGGTAACACGGAAAGATAACGTGTTCGTGCGGTGTTACTGAGGCATCTGTTTCACGTTCTGTATTTCGTGTTTTGTACAGTGCCGCTTAAGGGAATCGCTTCATATTGTGTACGCTTGTGTTGTGCGTGACTAAGAGGCGTGTGTGCGTTCCGCTTTGCGTAGTTTTGCGGAAAGGAAGGAAATTGCTTCATATTGTGTACGAGTGTGCTTTGTGTTGTACTTGATTAACTTTGGGTATTTGAGAGTCGTATTCTTGGTTCTTTCGGTAAAGTCACGTAGAAGGGAAACAATAAAATAATAAAAAATATAAAAAAAATTCTCACGACGTTTCGACTGCAACACAAGCAATCATCATCAGGTGTTTTATATTATTGTTTTATATTTTTTTTATTATTTTATTGTTTCCCTTCTACGTGACTTTACCGAAAGAACCAAGAATATGATTCCCTGCAGTCACGCAAGCTTTAAATCAACATTTATTAGAGAGTCGTTTTCTTGTCATCGCAACGCGAGGCTGAAGCTCCCGTCGCACATTTCGACATTTGTCCTGCACGGTATCAATGCTGCAGCCTCCCTCCCTCTCTCTATCCCAACCCACGAGTTAACAGTGGCTGGTGTAGTACTCAATATCGTGCACTGAATAATGCATTCGTAATGCGTTTCCCTTGTGAAACTCTGTGGCATCGTGAATGAAACCAATCCTGTATTAACTAATTCATCACCTTCATTTGTGGTAAATTATTCACTCGTTCATCATTCGATCCTTAAGTGCAACAGAATCACGCGCAAAGACAAAGATCCCCCGCGTAGCCTTAAGACTGTCTGGGGGCAAGTGCTGTTAGCGAGTAGCAGCACCTATGAAGTCCGGCACGGCACACGAGGGGGTGGGTGGCCAGCACCACGTTCGGCCAACTTTGTCTCCCCAGTGGTGATGTTTCATTCACACCGCACCAGCTACTCCATGCCATTGTAATACATTATTACAATGGCATTGTAAATATTGTAATCCATTACGAATTACATACGGTATTTACAATTGTAGCCGATCTATAGCTCTGCCGTGATTGGTCTAAGAGCTAGATCGACCGCTTCCGATTGGCTGGCAAGGGACACTGCCCCCACTGGATTCGGAGCGAGAGCTTTTGGTTGAGAATTTTGCCAACAGGGACAAGCAACTCCTGAGCAATAGAGTTTCCGGCAATTCCGGGAACCTTTCACTGCACCCGATGTCTCTTGGAGCAAAGGCAGCCACAAGGAGTACCCTACAGGGTTGAGCCAAACACCAGCCTCGAGGGTCACAGCTTGTTTTGGGATTTTGGTTATTGTTTATTCGCTTCGCTGGTATCCATGCGGGTGCCTGTATGGGAGGGGGGGTGGTGAGGGCATCCGAGGACAGACGGAGAATATCACTGTGCTGTCAGAGCAGTGCGGTGCGCGTGGTGTGCGGTTCAGTGTGCGTCTGTGTGCGCGTGTTTGCTGAACTTCTTTCGCGCCGTACGTTGCCAACCGTGCTAATCGGAGGGGTTTGTCGACGCATGCGCGCGGGGAGCGGTGGTGCAGCGGTTAGCGCGCTGCGCTACGAACCTGGCGACCCGAATTATATTCACGCTCACGGCCAACATCAGTCACGATTATCTGACCCGGGACGTGGGCCTCCACTAGGTCGACAAAGGCGGTCGGGCGTGGTGCTGGCCACCCACCCCCTCGTGTGCCGTTTCCGGCCTTCAGGAGGTATCGTCTCTGTGTGTGCGTCGTAGCGGCTCAGTGTGGGTTAGCGTGGTCCACCGTACAGTGGCTCAGCGGGGACCCAGTGCGATCCCGTACAGCTCGCTGCGACTCAACGTCGTAGCCAAATGCACCGTGCACGCACCAGGTACTCCTGCTCGCCGACACCAAACCTCTCGCGAAGGTTGCGGAACACCACAGGGCAGTACTCCTTGAACTTGAAGCGGCTGGGCATGTTCTCTCTGTGCCGACAGACACACGCCCGCAAGAGACAGGTGGGGAAGGTCAGGTGAGAGGGCAGAGGTCAAGGAAACTGCAGGTCACTCGCCCAGAGTGTGCAGCAGCAGTTGAATAATTGACCCCAACGCCACACCGCTCCGTGTCAACGCCCCTTGCCTCCGACTCGTAGGTAAACAAAAACTAAAGTTTTGTTAGACACGTTTAGGTGCGTGACGAGTCACACCCGCACCTCCGATTAGCACGGTTGGCTACGTACGGTGCGAAAAAGGTTCAACATCGGTACATACAGTGGTGCAACAAAATCGTCAATTGTCCGGTTACAATTCGATTCAGGAATCTGTTTCCTTTCGTCTCGTTTCCACCGTCTTGTTTATGTCGTTAGGTTTTTTAAATCTCACACGCACGATTCGGCACGCATACCGCCAGCGTAAGAGCTTCTCCTGGAGGAGACGATGCATCGATACGTGCCGAGCTACATTTTTTTATCGAGAGGACTTTATGGAGACGATGTGAAATACCTTAACGCTCGCAGCTTGGCAAGGAGAGCGACTGAAACAACAACCGGCCATCATGTCACACCTAAATGAAGCTCCACATTTGCCGTTGAGCGAGGCCACATGGTAGTGTTATGTATGTGTATGTTGAATTTCCTTAGCACCGTACGGAGCCAACAGTGTTCATCGGAGGTGCGGGGGAAGGACAACAAACTCGGGACAAAAAGCGGTTCCAAAATAAATTAATTTTCAATCTACATTTAAAAGTGCGTAGCTCCAGCGGCTCTCTCATATCGGAAGGAAGAAGCGCGTTCAAAGTGCCCGCAGAAGCGCAACTGAAAGCGCGCGTTGCGGGAACTGTCTTTTGTTCGATGGCTCGCGAAAAATTGTCGTTAAGCCTCCGACACCTGACGCGATTGCCACGTTTACAAAGACTTGTTTTTATTAAATATGTGCCACGGTCCTGAGCAATGAAGCTCATTCTCACCCATGGCGCGAGACTTTCCACGGCTGCATCCAACGTGACCAGGCGGCGAGGTTTTCGCTCAAACCAATTCGGGCTTCACCAGGGCTGGCGAGTTAAGGAAATTCAACATACACATACATTTGAAATAAAATGTGATTCTAATCACGGCTATGGAAACCTCGTTCGAGGCAAAACGCCGTCTCATTTACAGAAAACAAGTTCCAGAAAGTATGCCCAAATAACACATTTCTGTCTGATATTACAGACGCTTTACAGGACGTATGCCCTCAAAAACAATGTATACGTGTAACAGGCGACGTTTCAGGCAATGGGGCCTTGCATAGGGCGGAGGACAGAGTGTTGTTGACAACTGTGTTGAGTTGTTGTTTGTGAATTTCATGAAGAGGCTTTCACACAACCAATATGATTCGTGAGAATATTTTTTGGATTAGACCGTGTAACCCAAAAAAATGTTTAATTACAAATAATTGTACTTGCGTTCATAATAAAGGTTTTTGGGTTAGATCGCGTTTATTTATAAATGTGTCGTAACCCTCCACCACCCGACACGGCCAATCAGCAAAAAAAAAAGTGTGGAGGGTTACGACACATTTATAAGTCACACTTTTTTTTGCTGATTGGCCGTGTCGGGTGGTGGAGGGTTACGACACATTTATAAATAAACGCGATCTAACCCAAAAACCTTTATTATGAATAATATTGGTCGCGAAAGCCTACATGTTAAACTGAATTGTATTTGCGCTTTGTGCACCCACTGCCAACGCAGCACGGTAATCTGTAAGTGCCGACAGGATACAAATCATACTTCACAATGTTTTTTTTTATTTTACCAGGTAAGGCCCACTGAGCTATGTAGTTCTTTTTTAGAAGCGACCTGGGCTATCGCAATGGTAGCTCGACTTAGTGGCTTAATCGCGTGGAAATTTATAGCAGTCAAATACTCTGAAAAGCACGTCGCTTCTAAATGTGGGGAGGAAAAACCGGAGGACCCCGAGACAATGTACAAACACAATGCAAGTATCAGAACACTTATAGCTTGGGCGGAGCTGCTATATCATGGGACCTTTTTGCCAGTATCAAAATATGAAAAATAAGAATAGGTTTTACCCTTTCTGGAAATAGCACGTGTGTTGTCAAGATGTTCAAACACCAAAGAAATACCTTTTGCAAGGAATCAAGCCTGCATTAACCACACGCCCTTGACACTGGCAAAAAATATCCTAATAATAAAACTGCTTGTCTGATGCAAACATTGCTGAGTGGCCAAGGGTACGAACAACCACTTCTTGAACGTGCTTAAAACTAAACGTTTTAAACTAAACTTTTTTATTTTACCAAGTAAGGCCCACTGAGCTATATAGCTCCTTTTCAGAAACGACCTGGCCACAAATCATAGCTCAACGAAGTGGCTTATCACATGGAAATATAAAGCAGGCAAATACTCTAAACGCGTGATATTAATTCTAAATGTGGAGGGAACAACCGCAGGACCTGGAGAAAAATCCACGCAACCAGGAGGTGAACATGCAAACACTCCAAATATACAGCAGGCATCATCAGGGTCGGAATCGAACCCACGACCTCCTGTATACAAGGTCACCGCAGCCGCCCCTGCGGTGGCAAGATGTTATGAACTGTTATTTTACGTCATGTCTATAAATGAGAGGTGCCCCGGTAATAAAGTTGACAAGCCCGAAAATCTCACGGATCAAGAGGGCAGGCTTTCCCTTGCGATTAGCGTCACGCTAAGCGGACGAAAGTGGGGAATCGGTAAGTTCGATGCGTGGCAATCTGCGGGTGACATACAAAATAGAAATTATCAAACCTGGATTGTGAAGTGCTCCAAGGAAGTTAGCATGGATGTGCTTCTGCGACAAGTCTAGATTGAAAGCTCATTTCTTTAGAACTGGTGTTTGTTGTCCTTTTCCCCGCACCTCCAATTAGCACGGTTGGCTACGTACGGTGTGAAAGGAGTTGAACATACATACGTACTTTAAATAAACGATAAATATCAGGCATCTGATTAGGCACGTGGCATGTGCTGGGGTTCTATTATACATGCGCACGACAGCAACGGGGTTTCAGCAGCAGCAGCAGCAGTGACTTCGCTTGGGCTTTCCAACGTCACCGACCGCACGCCGTGGGTTATCGAGTCTCTCCGGGACACACATGCCCCATCGCATTGACGAGAGACCGCTGTCCAGGTAGATTCACGCTGGGCCCACGGCAGTGCGCCAACTGAACGTGCCGCGCAGACTCGGGCTGACTGAACGCGCCACGTACACTCTTGATATTTACCGCCCCCCCCCCCTGCACCTCGAATGAGCACAGTTGGCTACGTACGGTGCAAAAGAAGTTCAACATACGTACGTACGTAGAGATTTATCAGAAACTTCCACCCCACACTGCTCACCCCCCCCCCACCCCCTCCTTATTCATTCATTCACAAAGAAGACTGTAAATCTAAGTTCGGTGAAGGATTTTCTTTTTTCTATTCTCTGGCAGAGATGACGAGACAAGACTGACATTTTGGCAGGCCTGGCCTTTCATGCAATCACGCTCCCCCCCTCTTATTGACAATATAATACACCAGTTGTATTTATAGCAACCGAAACATTCCGTGAAAGGTAAAAGCGCAGCCCCGCGACTGCTCGCCCACGCCACCGCTGGCGGAAGTTCCCCCCACTCGGAGCGAGCTCTGCAGGACCCCGTCTAGAGGGTTACTTGGTCTACTCTTCCACCGCTGGCCAGACGCCGTGTAAGACGTGGGAGTCGCCCACGTCTTACCCAACCACACGCCACCTGGCCATCGAGGGATCTGTGCCGTGTCCATTTGGACTGCTGGACGGACAGAGGCGAGTGGCGAGGGGAGGGTGGGGGGGCGATTTAAGGATCCTGCCCATTGCTTCAGCTGCCGCTCCGGGAGATCGTATCGAACCCGGCAAGCTCTGCAACTCGAGCGCGGTGTGCTGACCACCGTACACCAGGGCAGGCATCCCAACACGACTTTCCGTCATCACCCTTGCCCACTACGCACACCCTCCACTGCTCCAGCAGCACATGCGCGCGCACGTTCACAATCTCACGCTCGCATGTACCCGCGCGGTATGTGCAGGCAGGGCAGGCTCGCGCACAAAGCACCCGATAAGAGATTTCTAACGAGGTCGTTGCGGGATTTGTCGAGGCTGATAAGGGCCAGAGAGTCGGTGCCAAGCGGCCGGGCTCGAGAGCGCGTTTCGTCTGTTTCCGCGCGATAGCGCACTCCCTGGCCTGGGCCGCAGCGGACTGCGAGTGGCCACACAAAGCACGCACGGGCAGAGGAGTAGCGACGTGGAGCCAACAAACGTGCTAGGGACAGAGAGACGCACGCGGGTGAGAGAGAGACATGGGCGGGAGAGACATGGGCGGGAGAGACACGTGTGCTAGATGAAGCTACACACGGGAGAGCCGCGGGTGGGAGAGAGAGAGAGACACCGGCAGGAGATAGGGACGTGTGGGAGGAACTCGTTTTTTATGTTCATAAATACACCGATCCATTCGTAGACACCCGACTAGAATAACAGGGAGCAAGGAGGCGAGCTTTGGGTTTTACGATTCGGATTTTTGAGGATAATTTCGGATGTCTTTTGAGAGTTTCAGGTCATTCGCATGACATGCCACGCGTGTCCAAGTTTTTTTTTCGTTTTTGTTCCTTTTTTGGTGACCCAGGACACCCGAGCCACCGGGACTCATGGCCCGGTGGTCTGTCGAGCCCTCTTGCTGGGTAAACAAAACAAACCTGAAACCCCCCAAAAAACTGACGTCACCCTGCGCCACGTGACACCATTCTGGACGGGAAAAGCGTGGGGGTGATGTCATATTCGTCGTAAAGTTAAACTAAAACTAAACTTAACTTTTTATTTTATTTTACCAGGCAAGGCCCACCGAGATGCTAAGTAGCTCTTCTGTAGGAGCGACCTGGCCACAAACGATCGCTTGACGAAGAGGCTTTTCACGTGGAAATCTAGAGCAGCCAAATACT